TAGCAAATTTTTCACATTCAAATCTCTTCGTTGAACATCTTCAAATAGGCTCTGTTGCTCTCTTTTTTAATTAAATAAAGGAGAAAAGTTCAGTTAAACTCTTTTTGGTAGAAATGCTCATACTGAAGTGAATGATCAACTTCTCACACAAGTCTAAAAAACTAGATATGAAACTTGGTTTTAGGTCGTGATACTAAACTCGTGTAAACCTCTGAAAAGTAGTTAAATCCTTGCTTATAGCTTTAAAATCCTACACCTCTAATTTCAAATCATTCCTCACATTTTGAACATGTTTCCTAGGTCTCACAATATTTTATAGTTATCAAAGTTCATTTTCCTAGCTACAAAGTCTCTGTAGAGGCATGTGTTCAATACATTATCATATGGTTGTGAGTCATGATCCTTTTATCTAACTAGAATCCATTTTATACATTGCCTTTGTAGTTCTACTTTTCTTAATTTATTATCAATTATTTATGTACATATAAATTTGTACATATTAATTTATAAAAATGACAACTCGACAATAAAATTGATAAAAGATAAAATGAATCCGTTAAATAAGCCACTATTTATATCATCACCACACACCTAAGTCGGTAATTCGACATAAGTTTCAATAATTTACAAACAAATAAAATTTTAAAAAATCTAAAATAAACCATAATATATACAAAATCATATATCCATACAACAAGTTTGTTAAAGAAAAAAAAATATAAAACAAGTAATCATAAAAAAATTACATATACTATAAAAATAAAAAATAAAAAATTAACATTTTAAAATTTTGTTCAAATATATAAAATAATAAATTTACTTATTTAAAATAAAAAATATAAAATAAAATTACTATAGTGACTTGACAGTCAAAGAATAATGAGTTATGTAGAGATGGGGGTGATGTGAGGGGGTGTTAGTTGCAGATTATGGAGGGTTGTTTAGATGTAAAGGGAAAAAAAGAGAAATGAGGGAGGAGAAGGTTGATCAGGACATATATTAACTATTACCAATAAAATTATTGATAGAACATTTTTTTTTGTCAATCCATCAATAATTTTATCGGTATAAATGACACGTCATTGTATGATTTTCAATGTTTGAATCCAATTGTAATTTTATTGGTAAAAGTGTCCATAAAAAATTACACTTTATCGTGCTTTCATGTTTTTTAAATTCCTTTTATTCCAACTAGAATTTCCTTGATATTTATCAATAAAAATATTTTGTTGATAAATACCAATAGAAATGGCCGTGGGAAAAATTTAATTAATCAAAAACTACTCCAAAATACTGATAAAATATCTTCTTTGATGATTTGATTTGCATTTATAGATTTTCTAGTGAAAGTCCTAAACAAACTAAAATTTTTTTAAAAAAATCTAGCATCTTTAGGGCCTAATTTAGTATTATTCTAGACCTCAACCAGTTATAATAATCTAATTTTGTATATAAATAAGATTAGAGAATCTTTTAAAAAATAAAGTCATCCAATTATTAATAAAATATGAGGGGCTTTTTTTGTTAGGCTAATCACCTTGGAGAACCCCATGTCCGTATTTTAGCTTAACCCTATCTATAAATATTCATACAAAGCTATCCATATAGCGTACTGTGCTATGTCCATAACTAATCGAGCAGAACCGCTGCATGACTACAATATACATCCATGTGAAGATTATCCATGTGAAGATTAGGTTCAAACTACGAGGCATGTTAATTGCTTTACTCATGCAAGAGCGTGGTTTTTTGTTTGCTTCAAAGAGTTGTTGGTAATAATTTTTTACTCTACATTACATGTTGAGCTTGCTTTCAGGGTTGCTACTTTGCTATTGTAGATAAATTATAATTAATTGGTCATCTCTCCAGCTACAAGACCGGTGTTGACTATTCTCAAAGACATTGTAGATAAATTATAATTAATTGGTCATCACTCCAGCTACAAGACCAGTGTTACTATTCTCGAAGACATAAATTATAATTAATTTGTCTCCTTTGCAAACCCGTTAATTTTTAGACTTCTCAAATTACCCCATCCATCCTCTCTAGCTATATTTATTCTCTTATCACCCTCTGATTGCTTGCATGTTGTGGGATTAACTGGAAATTGGTCTTTGTCTTCATTAAATTGCACCAAGCTAATGAACTTTTAATTAACATTTATAATGAAAATTTTTAGTATTCAGTATGTAATTTTGAATATTGTTAAATATAAAGCAATTTATCATTTATTTAAATGAAAAAATATCTAAAATGCTCTCAAATTTCTGTCCAAACCTTGGACAAAAGCTTTATACACACACCACTTAACAAATCTTAAAACTATTTAGCTAAAATTTAAAATTAATATTTTAAATTTTAAAGAACTATAATACAACATTACAACACATTCTATCTTACATTATAAAATATATCTCAATTTTTGTAAATCAATCACATCGTATCTTTAAATATAATTCAAATTAATACATAAATTAGTTGTTCTCTATAATAATTTATCATGTATTATCAATTTCGACCATACTTTTAAACAAACATTTATAATTTGTTATGTTTTGAGAAATTATTTTCAACTATAATTTCAATTAAACATCTATTTAAATCAAATACACCATAATAAAAAATAATTTTTAAAAATTAACTTTTTTTAAATCTCAACAACAAAGCTATAACAAAAACAAACACACTATTAATATTTCTTGTATTGGAGAGTGAATTTTTGTTAATTGCATAGAGCTATCTGAACTTTCATCTAATTACACAGAACATTCTGCTCAATGTTGGTTATGACAAAATGTCTTTTGAATTTTTTTATTTTATTTAACGGCAATTGTTTCTCTTTTTTCCAGTTTTACTAGAAGAGGATGAGAAATATAAGGTCCAATATTAACATCTCATTGGAGCTTGTCTTAGAAATGCAAAGATACTCTTGGTTTCAATCTTGCTGTAACGGATCATCTCAAGGTGTGATCATATGAGTTTTATCTTTTGGAAATGCTGGGAGTGAGGCTAGATGCACTCGTCAAAGAAGCAAAAGCAAAGTTGCTAGAAACCCGCTTATAGCAGTCAAAATGTTCGGAAGCAAGGAAAAATGAAAAAGAAAAAAAAAAACATCATCAAATGACTTGCATGCTCGGACGATATTATAAGGAAGATAATTGCCTATTGTCCTGTAAAGTCATTCTCCGCATCATTTGAGTTTGTTAGACCTATGTTTTGCATTAAGATGGTGTCGGAAATGCTGGGAGTGTGCTAGTGGTCTTTCACCAGGCACTCAATTTAGAACTCCGTATCTCTTTGGATATCTCCCATCATGACAACATTCTATCAAGTCTAGCTTCAGCGTGATTAAGAATTCAGAGGCAGCTATAACTGTATGAAAATTAGGAGTAGGAGAAGCTAAATATCAATATATGAAATTAATGACGATGTAAAAATGATATTGGAAAAAATAAAGATAAAACATAGGAATAAATGGAGCACTTGATGAATATAAAGAGAAGGGAACTTAGCGGATAACAAAGCTAATAAAAAAGCATTCTTATATCCTGTAAAAACAATTGATACCAGTTGGATTGCTTTGCTCTTCTGCAACCACTGTATATCATTGTAATGGAAGTAAATATGAATAAATCTATACTATATGATAAATTCTATCAATTTTGTTAGTATAAAGTGATGTAGGAGGACTTCTAGGGAAAATTATATATTTTCTTAATAATACTCGTATTTAGTTTAGTAAAATATTTTTCCTTATGGTATTTTTATTTTATTTTCTATTTATTTTAGGAAATCGACTATTGTACTTGACAATTTTATTTTCTCTAGCTATTTAGTTTAAGAATCATTATAATAATTCTATAATTATTTGTTAGTAATTTTTGCTACTTCAAGGTAAACTAAGGACTAGTATAAAAAACTTAGGATTAAGATAAATAAAGTTGTGTAGTTTATATTTCAACATATTACTTGAAAAAAAAAATCGAATAATAAAATTTTGAATTAAGATTTAATTATATGTGGTGATCTTATTCAATATAATTTTATGTTGCTTGTACTTGTTGTTTTTTTTATATTGTTTTTATTTTTGTTTATAAGTATTAGAGCTGAACAATTCCTGGTAGTTAGTTGTTGTACTATTTATTTTAATAATAATTATGTTGATAATGATAATATAAACAATGACATTAAAGGTAGAGATGATGTCATTACTAGTATCTTTAAGTTGGAGATTAAGAGAAAAAAAAATATAAAAGGTGATTAACAAAAAAAAATTATTGATTTAGATCATATTGATCTTTCTTATTACAAACTTATTATTATCATCAGCTAGATTTGTTTGAGGATTATATGAATATAACAAATATTGATAAAGAAAGTTTGTTGTTTGCAATATATTACTTTATAAGATAATGAATGAAAAATAATTTGACAATTATAGTTGATATCTAATATTATTATACATTGGAAGCAACAAAAAAAAAAGAGAGTTAAATATTATACATTGGAAGCAACAAAAAAAAAAAGAGAGAGTTAAGGAATCTTGATTGGATATTTATAAAATTGTGATAAAATTAATTTGAACTTTGGGGATGAGATATTTCCAACTCAAATAGACCCATGCAAAACGATTTTGAAGGAAAATTATTTATTTAATCAATTAATCTTATTCATAAATAATTAAGAAAAATATTTTCTTTTATGATATTTTATTTTTTTTTCTATTTAGTTTAGGAATTTCTATAATAACTCCATAATTATTTATTAGGATCTTTTTTACTTCAAGATAAATATCAAATTAGTGTAAAAAAGATTATTTAACTTATATTTCAGCAAATTAGTTGAGAAGGAGACAATATTTAGCAACCAAATATCAAGTTAATATTTTTATGTGGTGATCTATTGAGCAGAATTCTATGTATCATAGCAATCAAAACACAAAATATCTTCTTAATTAGCAATCAGAACACAAATATCTTCTCTTAGGAATTTCTTGCTTTCTATTTGAAGTTCTTGCCCTCGTATGTCTGGCCAAATTGCCAGTTTTTAGGGGTAACATGCCATGAAGTGGAGTCCCTGTCATCGCTTGCACTAACACGGAAGGATAGTGACTCTCCAAGCAAAATAGCACTGGTTTTCCAAGTTGTCCCCCAATCTCGTTCCATTTGCGTCCACTTGAGCTTGTCATCGCCCTTCACTTGAACACCAACAACATCTCCAGCTCCCCCTACATTCCACACAATGACCTGATAGAACCAAGGATTCCCCAATATAGTGAATCGAATACCTCCTTGCTTCTGGCATGGAACCCTGCAGGGAAAATGAACCCTTTTAATTAAGAAACTCAACCCTTTTAAATTGTAAAATATCGCCTAATGGGAAAAGATTGAAAAGTCATGTGACCTGCGATATTGGATTGGGATAATGCCGGCCTTGTACTCAGCAAGCTGGCTAAATACAGGCTTGGCTACATCGAAATGCTCACGTGGCTCATTGCACCAGCCTCCATTGTCATTTGGGAGAGATGGATTTGGTGGGCAATGGTCAGTTGCAGTGACAATGAGAGATGGCTGCCCTAGCTTGCACCATTGAGGGTTGTCTGCGCACTTGATTTCGAAACAAGCACCACAGGCCTGTCCATTTTTGAACAGAACACTGCTCAGTGCAGCTGTATTCATGCCATATCCTTGGCCCGCAACATCTTTGTAATTGCATGCTCCCCCTGTACAAAAAAAGTTAGTCCAGGAACAGTGAAAATAATCTACTAGAAAAATCGTCAGATGCGTGAGGATTCGATGTTCTTTGTTTCTTTTTTACAATATATTTTTAATGAAAATATAGAAAAATGTTCTCATCATACTGCTCTTGGCGATAAGCCTCGCAATATTGAATGAAATTTTAGCTAACGAAAAGACCATATTGGAAGTTGGATTAGGTCGTTTTGTAAGGTGAGCAAGATCATCGATCTCTTGTGACCGAAGGATGAAAAGAAAATATATGGAAAAAAGGAAAAGAAGGCATCGATACCGAATGTTCCTGAGCCGCCTTCATAGAAAGTTGCATGAGCTTCCTTCCATGGGCCTGGCTGGAACTTTGGTTTATGCCTTTTGGGAAGTTCAATGTCGTGGGCTAGTCGTCGTCCAATTGCATGGTGAATGGCTTGTTTCCCTAAGAGGGAAGGTTTTGATTTTGCCTGGCAATTAGGGAAGGCAATGGCTAAAAGCAGCAATGTTGCTAACATCGGTTTCAAAGGCGATGCCATTATTACATATGCCGGCATTAACAATCTGATAAAAAAACAAGTTGGCACAGCCTTCGTTATATAATTTCTTGAGAGAGAGAAATGTTAAAGATGTTATGCTATATCCTTGGTGGGGCAACAGGTATATATAGTGCTAGATTTTGCAAGTCTGTTGTACCTAACTATATAGGTTAGGACATATTAAAGAGCATCCAAAGGAATGATGAGGCCGCTAGGAGAGGCATGGCATTCGCCCTGTGCCTTCCCCTTTTTAGAAGCATATATGAACTGTTCTTATAACATTCCTGTTTTCCTGCTTGCCATTGTTGAGCACAGGCTTCAATTTCCCCTCCCAGCCTGATTCAAGTACCATGCACCCATGTTTAGGAAGCAACAACGCAGAAAAAAAGTGGGGCAACGGCTAGGGAATTACCGATTCTGTCAACATCTTTTTTACTCTGGCAATGGCAGCGGAATTAACCACCACAACATCATGATGGAAAAGTAGGCTTTTAGACATTATTTTTATATACATTTAAAGTGTAATTAAAAATAAATCCATCCATTTTGGTTAAAAATTTGATAGAAAATATTCTCAATATGATACTATAGCATGAAATATCATAATATCTAAACCCAATTTTAGATGAATTAAAAATTAATCTTGAAGTTGGCATCATATAAAATTTTAACCATAAAACTTTGTTCCATATTACAAAAATAGAAACTCTTCTTTCCATGGCATGTGAGTAGTTTTGCCCCTATTAAAAAAATATTTATAAAAAACTATTCTTTTCTTTAAAAAACCGATGTTTTTGTTGGTTTATAGATTGTAATTTGTATGTTTGTCCATCATTTTATTGTTAGTAGTTTATAGTTTATAACTTTAGTTTTATTTATACAATAGATTAAACTTTCTTTGATTAAATCTAACAAAATTGGTTGGTATATATACTATATTATTATCTGATGATCTTATGCTGCTTTTAACTCCTTTAGAGCTCCCAAGCTTTCTCAGATATTTTCAAAAGTGGATATTTAATAAATGCTAGTAATAAAAAAAACTAGAAGCAATATATATATATATATATATATATATATATTGATTGAAACTAAGTTTAGTTTCGTGTCCCTAATTTTAAATTTATTGGAAAAGAAACTTATTTTATGTACTCATCTCAAAAACCAAATATAAATGATAATCAACATGTTTTAATATAATAAGCAACAAAATATTGTATTATACTCTAAAATGCATGGGATTTTCATTGTACTTTTGTTATTGTGCAAAATTTTGGTTTCTTTTTCAATTTGATTCTCAAATATTTTTTTAGAAGATTTAGTCTTATTTAAAAAGCAATTCATTTCAAACTTTTATGTAAGGGTGAGATTGAAAGAGAGAGAGGTGAAATGAAAAACATGGTGGAGATGGGTGGTGTATCATAAGTTTCATAAAAAATACACTTTAGTCCTCTAAATTAAATAATCACATAAATTATACAATTTTGATTTCTTGAAATTGTTCTAAATTCATTTTGGTATAGAGGTTTATTTTTGTTATTTTTTTGTTCCTGATTGAGAGAGGAGGGGGAGAGAGGGGTCACTAAATTATGGTGGTATATAGAAAAACTTGTCGTTAACACCAAGGGCAAAGCTAGGATTATTTGTTAGGGGTGGCCAAAAATAATATAATAAAATATAATATTTGTTTTAATTTATTATATATGAGTTGTAAAAAAAAACCTGCATGATTTAGTTTTATTCAAATAACTTATTATAAACATATAATGACATTTGTATAAGGTAAAAAAGTTTGGAGCAATACCGAATTGAGTCAAAGCAATGAAGTTAATTTCATCTTCATGATGTATCCATCACTTTTATGCTATTGGTCTTTATACCTATCAAATATAAACATACAAAATATATAAGAAACATTAGCTAAAGCGAAACATTATTTATGTTTGATAAACTTTGAAATAAAGTAAAAAATAATAAAGAATGATTCTTACATCTTTATTTTAATTGTGCTCGTCGTTCTTTCATATAATAGAAATCATCTATTATCATATGAATTATGAATCTTTCAGCAATTTCTTTTTTTATGTAGACAATCAAATAATTTGCAAGAAAATCATCCTCCATCCGATTACGAAGTCTTGTTTTAACAATCTTCATTGCTGAGAAAGCTCGTTCAGTAATTGCTGTCGAAACAGGAAGAGTCAAAATAAGCCGAATCAACCTGTCAACTAGTGGATAAATTGTTGATTTTTCTGTTTCAACCAATCCTTGACATAAATCAGCAATCGATGACATGCTCTTTAACTTTGGATGATTAGGTACATCAAGCTCATAATGCTACAACTGAAGTCTCAAATAAATTTTTTCTTGGTCAGAAGAATCTTAAGGATAGAACTTGTCAACAAGTAAGCATATATCTTCAACATTGAATAATTTATAGCTATTTCTAGGATCTAAAGTTGTGCTCAACTTAAGAAGCTCGATCGCCTACTCATTGAATCTATTATTTAGCTCTTGCAATTGTTGATCAATGATAGCTGTAAATATATCAACTCAGTAGTGATCAACTGTTACTGATTTTTGTTTACGGCAAGATTATCCTACACTAGAAAAACAAACATCCATATTAGGAACTTTAATGTCTTGATGCTTACAAAATGATGTCACTTATTCTGAAAGAGTTTTTCAACCATCATCTCTTAATTTTTGAATTAAAGTCTTTGTGGTAATCACCAAATGCATAACATTTAAAATGTCTTAAGGCTTGGCAAAGCATATCAGTAATTCCCATAACATCCTTCGTTATATGTTAGATGAATGTAAAATCAAATGACATTACCAACTTAAATGAAAAAGTCGTATCGCCATGTTGAGAATAAATAAATTTATCTAAAGCAATGTTTTTAAGAACCAAGCAAGTTGCCCAATATATTTTTATCAAACTGCAAATTTATTTGAAGTGCGAACTTCATCTGCCATCTCTAGGCCGTTGCAAATCACCTACTTGATTAACTCCTTTATCCGTTTCAATCTCACCAATATCAACTACATGTTCAATTGTAGCTGATTGAAAAGATTATAATTTATCATTACGCTTACAAGAAGCACTAACAATATTAATAATAAAAATCAAATTTTGAAAGAAAGTGTGAACATCAGATATTTCTCTAGCTACAACAATAAGAGC